ATGTATTTTTCAAATAGGAAAGCTTCGTTCTTATTGCTAAAGACGTCCATGTTTTTAGGAGAACAAATTCAAACAACACTAACTTGTTTAAAGCAGAATATGGAGATTCCCTGTGGCCCCATTCTTTACCCTTCTCGCAGTAAACGCTTGATGTATGTCCCCCTAAGTTTTTTCTATTGATAGAAACCCTTGCAACACACCATAAGTATATATAATTAATAGGAATTACAGCACTATAAGATTGCAAACTGTTTTATTCAATAATTGTGTGGGATAACTGACACTGAGGGAACTATGACTCGGGACTATATTCCCTAATTTATAGCAGAGGGAATCTGGAAAGCTAGTATTCCACGGTAGGAGAGCCTCCACTTTGGTAAATTAAAGTCCAAGTACATTATCCTGCTTTAAATAACATTCCCACAGATTCTCCCCTAACAGCTATTCTGCCTTAAAGGGAGCACATGGTTGATTCTGTCTCCCTGAAGAAGCAGACGTTCTTGTAATCTCCTCCAGCTGCAGCACCGTGCACCCGCCCATGCCAAACCCCAATGCAGGTATTAAGTTTCCTCACCTGTGAGCTCAGGGACTTTACTGCAGCTACCACCCACCTTGTGACCTATGCAATTCCTGACTATGCATGTCGATGGCTACCTACAACTATCCTAAGGTAGTAAAGACCCTCTCTCTCTGCGCTGACCTGGCTGCTGAGATCATGGCCGTCCCAGAGGTGAGCATGTTACCATCAAATGTGTCTGACTCCTTTATTTTACTCTCCTATCTTCTACGACTTTCCGATGATCTTTATATTGTAGCCGTACAGTTGCGCCTACGCACCCCTCGGTTGTCAGAGGCTGGTTTACTCTGAAATAACCATGGGAATTTTTCTATACTAATATAAGTGGGTTTCAAAAAGTTTGTGGAAAATGTAATTATGAGATAATGGAATTTTCCCATGGATATTTTGAAATTTCCTTGTACAGATTGGTCTACCTCATTCTCTGCTGTACAGATACACCAAAATATGTGTATTCTGCTCAGTCCATATTGATATGTATTTAAGGTATCATACATGAGTGTTTAACTAGCACAAACAATACTAGAGGTAGCTTCTTTGTGTTTATATTTGTCCATTTGTGGGACTTCCCCCTACCCCCCACGGAGTTCTATGATGTAGAATTATTCTGACAAAGCCTAAGCAATGTCTTCATTTTGGTTAGAACATTCAAATCACTCTCATATTTTAATTTGTATGTGTTGGATGATTTACATTCGAAGTTATGTGGTCAGTGGCGCTTAAGTCTATCGTTTTATTATTTGTTTTCTCTTTGTTCTTAATGGTTCTTCCTTTTCCACTTTTCCTGACCCTCTGTGAGTTTCTTACCTTCTCTCAAATCCATTTCAAGTTTATATGATTTTTAATATATTGCTTTGTATACAGTTTAAGGATAAAGCATACACTGGTAACAGTCTGCAGATGCCAACAGTTCACCATTTTAATTGGGATATACATTTCGTCATCGATTTGTTCATAAATTACGTGCCTAAATACTCCTTTCTTTGTGATATATTTGTCTGAAATAGATCTGATACATTCAGAATATCATACTTTTTGCTTTTAACGGTCAAGCCCAATTAACAAAACTCGGAAGGAGAAAAATACGTTTCCCCTGATAGTTACTCTTTTCTTTGTTCTTTCATTATTTCCTATGTCTGAAGTGTCCTTCCATTCTATTTTATTTCTCTGAAGCCTTCTTGTTCTCCTTTGACCTTATTTTTGAGCCAGTCTCCCACTGAGCAAGTCTCTTATTTTTGCTTCATCTGAGAATGCCTGCTTTTCACCATCATTCTTATAGGCTGTTTCAATAGAGAGAGCATCCAGCCGAACAGGGCTTTGTTTTTACACTTCACTCGCAGCACCTGAAACATATTCTGCCATTTCCTTTGGCCTCCATGGCTTTTTAGGGGCTATTTGAATTGTTGCTCTATTACCAGTAATCTGTCATTTTCTTCTAGCTATTTTCAAGGGTTTTTTTCTAGAATTCTCGGAAGATTGACTTGAGGTGTCTAGGTGTGTGTTTCTGTATTTGTGTGCGTGTGTTTAGTTTCTTGATTCTGTGTTTATATCTTACTATGTTTCTAAAGTTTTAACTATTTATCTCTCAAATCTGCTTTTAGCGATGCATTGTTTTTTCTTTTTCTAAATGCCAAAGATCTGAATGCTATGTCTTTTTGACTTGTTCTAGAAGTCCTGGAGGCTAAGCTAGTTTCCTTCACAATTTTTATTTGTCTTATGTTGTTCGTAGTTTCTGTTGTTCTAACTTGTTCACTATTTTCACATCAATATCTTCACTCTGCTTTTTATCCCATCTGGTGAGTTTGTTTTTGAGAGTAATTTTTAGTTTTACCATATCCATTTGTTTCTTCTGTTATATATTCTGACTTTTTTTCTGAATTTCTAATTTAAAAAAATTATTTCAAGAATCTGCTTTGCAGAAGGCTATGGATGACAGTGGGAGACCAAGATTCATTTTTGGTAACTCCATGGGAAATAAGCCTCCAGTGACCCCCTTCTCTCCCCAGTTGAGGGAGGGGGTCAGTGGTGACGAACCAGAGTGCACTGGAGAGATGCACAGAGAGGACCAAGGGGTAAACCTGACTTGAACAGTTGAAACTTTGTTAGTTGAGCCCCTGCTCTGATGCACACTGGACCTGAGCTGGTTTTCAACATTTTCTGTATTTTTGTTTTGTTTTGTTTGTTTGTTCATATTAGGGTTTATCTCAGTGTTGTTATGTCATTCGGGGTAACCCTCTTGAAGTTGTGCCATATGTTTTTTCTGGTTTTCGGTATCTGAAACCCAGGATTGACGAACCTTTAGGGACAGCAACTAGAATAAGGGTTTTGGAGGGGGACTGTACAATGTGGGGGCAGGGAGGCCACTGTGGGATGAAGAGTTCCTGCCACAGTTTCTACCAGGACAGGATGGCTCCTCCTCTTTAGTGAAGCAGGAAGGAAGTCTAGTCTCTGCGGCTGACTGCACAGTGTTACACTCACAGACCTGGTGGTGAGAGGGGCAGCCCCTTGTTCCTGCAGTGGAGGTGGGAGTAAGGTCAGACTTATAGCCCCTCCAAATGGTTTTGAATATGCAAATATTTGCTGCCATCTCCTTCCTAGATTGGTCTTCTCCTGATTGCTTGTAACAGTGATGTATGCTACTAATTACAACAAACCAAAACAAAAACATCAAAATTTTACCTTTTAGCAGGTTCGAGGACATTAACAGGTATACTATATTTACCAATTAGGTTCCTTGAACTGGAATTTAAATATGGAAATGCTAATTAAAATTGGAATTTGACTGCATCATAAAGAATTCTAGTACTGTGTATTTGTATTAACAGAGGAGGTATCCCACTTTGTAAGAATACTAAATAATCAATTGTTTTGGCTACTTTAAAAAAATAAAACAGTATTGTGGTGTTCACACAGTACTTAATGAAAATCCTTCAAAGTGTATAATATGCATGTATTAAACATAGAATGCCAATACCAAAATGATCCAATGTTGTATGATGTCTCAAAGAAATAATAGATTTACAATTCTTGGTTTGTTTGTTTTTTTAACAAACTTTAAAGGGGCATCTGATACATTGATAGCAAGAAACCTCAACACTCCTGCAAAAATCGTTATAAAATAAATGTAGTAAAATTATAATTTAGAAATATAACTCTAGATGTATTTCTGTATGTGTTTGATATTTTTTTTGAGTTTTGGGATACACTAATACTGGCTAGACACCAATACTTTGAACTCTATCTTGCCCTCTGTTGACTATTAGAGAAGAAACAATAAAACATGTAAGCACTTATAAGGCAATATAAATTCAGGATTACACATACCATATACCCTATCACTCCTATTTACTTGGAAAATTATGCTGGTTCTGAAGTTTTTATGTCAACTTCTTGTAACTTCCTCCCTCAAGCAAAATTAGTCAAACTCTTCTTTCCAATCTTTGTGCCATGGTCTTCACACCATCCAACTTGTAAAACTATTTGCTCAGCATGCAGCTTAAGTATGGTGAAAGGATACAACTCTAATGCACAGTTTTCCTGATTTTACTCCATACTCATCACCCTGTTCCAGTTGAAAATGTGCTGTTTGGTTGATGTAGAGATTCTGCATGAGCACAATTAAGTGCTCTGAAATTCTCCTCAGTGCTATCCATAGCTTGCTTTCATCCCTATAGTTCAATGCTTTGGCAGAGACAATCAAACACAAGTAAACATCTTTCTGGTATTCTTTGTTTTCAGCTAAGACCTACCTGACATCAGGAATTATATCCTTCATTCTGAGACCTTTAGCAAATCCAGTTTGAATTTCTGGTTGCTCCCTATCAATGTAATGCAAATGATTTTTTACTTATCTTCTGCAAAATTCTACTTGAATATGATATAGTTACATTGTTCAATGATTCACACGTTCTGGTTTGTCACTTTTCTTTGGGATTTGCACCAATAGGGATTTCTTTCAGTCACTTGGCTAGGTATCTGTCTTCCAGATTCCTTGGCATAGACTAGTACGTGCTTCCAGTAATGCACCAGTTTGTTAAAACGTTTCAATTAGTAATCCATCACTTCACAGAGCCCTCAGTGCAGCTTCGACTTCTTCCATCAATACCACCAGTTCCTGATTATATACTACCTCTTGAAGTAGTTGAACATTTTTGTGCATTGATTGTGTATTTTTTTGCCATCTTCTTTCAATGATTCCTTCCTAATTCAACATTTCCCCCATAGATTCCTTCAATATTACCACCTCGGGCTTGAATGTTTTCTTCAGTACTTTCAGGTAGAGAAATGCTGAGCCAGTTCTTTTGTTTGGGTGTGCTAATGTCAAGTGATGCATGAAGGAAAATCATACAGTTGATTGCATATTCTTGAGTTCCATAGATTTTTGTAATACATTAAATACATTTAATTTTCTCCTCACTTTTAGGGTTGCTGGAGAAAAATAACTATTGATGACTTTCTTCCATTTGATGAAGAAAACAACCTATTGCTTCCCGCTACGACTAATGACATTGAACTCTGGCCAATGCTTTTGTCCAAAGCTATCATTAAGTTGGCAAATGTCGAGTAGGTAGAATGAAGCATTATCAATTATTTTTGATAAAAACAGAAAGATACATCATACACTCATAATACATAGCTTTATAAAATCCAATAAGCAATACTCTCTCCAAAAATGTGAAATTTCAAGTATAAAAATTAATAAGCCAAAGCCACAGTCTAGCTTTGCACCAGTGTCTCTGTTTCTTTAGATGGAAAACAGAAAATTTGTAGTAGGCATTTAGCCAGCAAGAAGACATATTTCTACCATAAGAATTAACTAAAGATTTCCTATGTATTATATATAGTTATATATCCTATGCATCATATAAAATTAGCTTATGCATGCATCCTATCCAGTGTATTCTTATTGTGAATGCAAAGTTAATCATGCAAGGTGGATAATAGTGTTTCAGTTTAATTGTTGAAATAGATTGTTTTGTTGGGGCACTATTTCTTCATGTGAATACTGAATATTACATGCTGGTACCCAGTGACATTTTAGATTCTGTATTGACAGCAATAATTTACTAGTCTGAGAAAAACCTAAATAATTCTCAAGTATGTGTGCTCCTTTTGATTTATTAACACTAATCTTATTGAATATTTTCTGGTGAAAATTACTCAGTTTTCCTCCATTGTTACTGCAAACTCTTCTTGAGTCTTATAATCCTACATGACAAGTCACATGTAGGATACATGTTTGCTATGATTGCTTCCCTTAGCTTCTACTTTGAGAGCTCTCCAGTCGTCTTGTCCTGGTCTTATCAAGGCCATGACGCATAGATAATTGAGTTGGCGATGCAAGGGAGCTCTGTACTGGTGCTCAGTGGGAGAATCCACACACGGACCGTGGGACTTGAATTTGATACCCTTGCCCTCCTGCTGTGTGTAATGGCATTGAGAATTCAACAGAAAACACCCACATGCTTTAACACACAAGTTCAGTCATTTTCTCAAAGCTCACCCCCCTCCCCTCCCATAAATACTGCCAGTTGGAAGTCACGTCTGCTTTTAGTGAATTTTCTTTCAGCACGCTTCGTTTTTCTCCACTAAGCCTTTCACAACGGTAACCATGCCTACTGCCATTCTCATGGGCTAGCCTTTCTCTTACCAACCCTCACTTCCCTATTGGAAACTGTTCCCCCCACCTCCCTCTGGGCTTAAAGTCCTTCATTCCAATGATTGTTATAAACACTCAGCCCAGACCCATGTAAGTCACTGAACACCCCGGGCACTTGGGGAGTGGTGCACTGTTCTGGTGGCAGCTAGGTTTACAAGGAAAAAGGTTTAATTTCAAGCTTCACTTGAATTCTGAAAATTAGAGATACAAAGCTAGTGAGGATCACATGATTGATTCAGATCATTGGAGTGGCATTTTGTCTTTCACAGTTATCATTCGATAGAATTCTATAGTAACACGAGTAATAATAATCCCCAAGCCAAACTGATTGCCAGTTCTTTCCTGTCTGCTATGTGCTTTCAAAATTCAACTGTTTTTGTTGCTACAATGTGTATCATGTATCATCTGTATGGTCCCTATATTCTTTATGATAATTTTAGGCTGTTAGTGATTTTCTTTTCCTTATATATCTGGTAACTCTCACTTTGTGCATTTCCATTGTTAGCATCCATGCGGCAGACAGGCGCGAGCTGGGCGAGTTCACCATTATCCATGCACTCACCGGGTGGTTACCAGAAGTCATTTCTCTAAAGTAGGTTTGACCATCAATTATTCATTTCTGTTTTCTTTTCTTTTTCACCCAGTAATATTTCTTTTTTTTGGGTAATATTTCTTTTACTGATATGTTCTTGGTCTCTCAGAAAGTCCCAGGAAAATTAATATTTTACAGGAAAATAACACCTGATGGTATCATATAAAATCCCTTGGGAATTTCAGGGTACTTTCTGTTTTGTTAGGGATTTTTTAGCTATATTATGAATTCAATCTTTAAGTATCTCATGTATAAATCATGAAATTATGAGGCTTAACATGAACAGAATTGTAAACCAAACAGATTTCCCTTTGTTCGTATACACTTATTTCCAAACAGAAACACAAAGTCTGCTTTTAATTAATCTGAAATCCTGGGGGATAATTAATAATAGTAGAACAATTAGACATCAAGTACTTTTAATTTGTTATGTAAAATAGAATGCCATAGTCCTTAATCACCCATGGAATATATATTTCCTTTATATCATTACCTACTCACATGAGGAAATCGAAGCTCAGAGAGAGTAAATTTCCTAAAAACAATCACATTTTGTGGGGAGAGAAGATTTGATTCTAAGTCTTTTGGGATTTAAAACACATGTTTTCTCTCACATGATTCTCTCTATGTGGCTCTATTTATCTGCGTCCCAAAGCAGTTCTTGGGAGGTGCACGAGGTCCGCTAGCCATGATCCAGTTCTTCCAGCCTCATCACAAAGGAGTCATTTGTTTGTGGAGCCCATCAGCCTCAGATTTCATGTTTCTCTTCTGTTTAGCACACTCCTTTCCCTGTTGCTCCAGACATAGAGATAGATTGTTTTACCTTCGGGGTTCAAGTGCAAGATTCCCTGGAAGAATCTTGATCAAAAGAGGGGAAATGCCAAACAAAGTTTCAAAACTTCTTAGAATCCAGAGTTTTAGAGCCATGGAAGCTCTCTGAAGCACAGAAACTATTGCCCTCATATAATCTTTAAACCTTAAACCAAAAATTTCCCTGGAAGTGACTGTAAAAATCAAACAATAGTTCAGTGAAGTTATATTATAGTTATGTGAGCAGCACGTGTATTGTTTGGTGTTTTGAAACCAGTCGTCTGTGTGTCTTGAACACCGGGCTGTTTTAAGATTGATCTGCATGCCATTAATTTGACAACAGCAACTCAGACGATGAGGCAGGAAACTCGAGGGGCAGTGAATTTATGCTAATCTGTATGTGTGGGAGACCCAGAAACGCAGGACAAAAGGGGGACATGACATGAAGAACATAATCAGTGCTACTGAATTGTTCATGTAGAAATTGCTCATGTTCCCCAGTGCATATTCTCAACAGCGATAACAACAAAAATATGGGAAGTTTTAAGTGATAAATATAAAAATTACAAATGTGAAGGTATGGACTTGTCTAATTTTAATTTTAAATGCCAAGTAAATGATTTACACTCTTGCTTTTATATGCCTGATGCTGTAGTCGTTGTCACTACCCGAGAGGCACGAAAACACCGGAAGTCCCTGAGGACGGAAGCAGAGGCAGGCTACCATAATTAGTCATACTAGAAAATCAGTAAAAATTGTGAAGTGTCTTTGTCTAGAATCATATAATTAAATTTCTAAAATAATAAAGGGTCCACTTGAATAATAATAAAAAGAAAGAAATATTTGATGGAGGTTAGATATTCATGTTACATGCATTTATGGTTGCTTATTAAAGGTTTAAGAGAATAATATGATGGAACCCTGGTGGCACAGTGGTTAGGAATTGGACTATTAAACACAAGGTCAGCAGTTTGAAAGCACTAGCCACTCCTCAGGAGAAGGATGAGGCTTTCTGCTCCCATTAAGAGTTACAGTCTGGGAAACCCACGGGGGTGGTTAGTTCTACCTTGTCCTGTAGGGTTGCTGTGAATTGGAATTAATTCAATGGCAGTGAGTTTGATTTGAGTTGCTTTGGGACTGATGTGAGGTGGAAAACTTGAGCGTTGGTGTGAAAACTAGCTAGCTAGACTAATTCTGACACCTCTACTTTCAAGTTCTGTGAAGTGTATCTTCTCTGGCATCTATAACATAAGGATAAAGACATATCTTATGTGGGTGTTCTGAAGATTAGATTAGTGAATGAGTGTCAGGAAAAGAAGGTAGTGCATGGTATGTATAATTAATGAAAGTTCTCTCCCTTTCTTAATGACATTTGCTGGGTTATTTATTGTTTTCTGGAAATATGCATGATAGTTAATAATCCACCTTTCCCAACAGGCATGGGCATATAGAGAAAAAAAGAGGCTAATGACATCATCAGTTTTTATCAGTTTTCCTCAAAATACAAATAGAAAGTAAAAGATAGGCACTAGTGTTGAGTGCTATATCAGGGGTTTGTAAGATTTTTCTTACATTCTGCCACATTCTTCTTATGATTTGAATTGCAATTCTAACATTGTCATGTTAGTGAGTATGCTATACAAATTTAAATAAAAGGAGTACTATAAAGTGACACATAAATGAAAAGAATTGTGTAAAGTAAAATTTTGAAGCAATGACCACTTGTCAAAGGTGCAGGCAGTGGTCAAGGAAGGCCTCATCCAAAAAATTCTGATTTGGTTGGATCCTTCCTATTGCCCATGTTGGCTTAATGGGCAGGGACCAGGGCACATAAGACGTTCCTAAGGGGCCATGCTTTTGTGGAGGCTGAGGAGAAAAAGAGTGGTGAAGTTTCAAACATAGATGGACAGTGGACTTTCCTCCATAGGAAAATTGATTAATGTGTTTTGTGGCATTTTCAATAGCCTCTCCCTTCCCTCTATCCATGGGAGTGCCAAAAGGAGACACCAACTCTGTTTGTCATTATTGGCCTTACCTCTTGGGTTCCCAAATTTTTGCTATTGGAAACAAAACCCCAAATTGCCAGTGGTGCCATGAGAATGCATTCTGCCTCATCGTGGTCCCTATTGGGTTTCCAGGGCTATACAAACTTATGGAAGCAGACAGCCTCATCTTCCTGCCAAGAAGCAGTTGTTGAGTTTGAACCACCATGTTCACCTACCAGCACCATCCAGGTGTTCCTCCGCCAATCTCTTCCAAAGATCTGTAGAAATAGAAGTACCATGAATCCCAGGCACGGATGGATATTAGGCTTCTGAAAATTGTACATAAAGGGGTGACAATTTCCCTGCACACTGCTCTGACATTGGTGTGGTCCACCTGTGGACATAGTACTTTGCCGTCACACCCTCAAGCCTAATGGTTCAAGACATTCTATGGCCTTATCTCTAACCAAGGAACATTTCTTTAACAACCTAGCTTTTTATTGGTATATAATATGTATGGGGGGAAACCAGACACACACATGTTGACTTTGAAATCAGAGTGATGCGTGAGTCCTGTTACTTGCTGGTTATGTGACTTCATAAAGTTAAACAGTGACTTTAATCCTCGAGTTGCAGAGCTTTTGTGCATGTACATGCAAGAAAGCAGCAAAGGTCGATACTGAATAGTCGTTATTTTGCTAGCGGTCCAATGAGAAACCGGAAGCCGTTCAGCCACTCAAGCAGATGGCAGATGCACACGGAAACCAATAATTATTTTCTAACCATCCGTTCATTTTGCATTTTCTCCTCAGGGAAAATCTCTTAATGAATGAGTGGTATATACCTACTGTCTTTATCTTGTTCTTACAGTTGTTGTGTGTCGTTGGGGCCATTCAGACTTATCGTTACCGGAGAGGACAGAGTAGAATCGCCCCATCCTGTTTCCTAGGGTGAAACCTTTGCAAAACTAGACTTCCCAATTTGACATTCCACCATTTTAGGAGGTAGCATATGAGCAAGAACCAATGGTGCTGAAGGAAGGAGTTGCGCCTCAGTGAAAGCATTAGCCCCAAAGCAAGACTCCAGGTGTTGATGGAATACCAATAGAAATGTTTCCAAAAGTTGAGGCAGCCCTAGAAACAGACACTCATCATGGCAGGAGGTTTGGAAGACAGCTAGTTGGCCAACTGACTGGAAGAGACCTATGTTGTTTGGTAACGTACAGGGGCAGCGAAGGATGGGAAGGAGGTGGAATGCCATCATGGCTGCAACACTAGGCTCCGTAACAGGAACACATGTGAGGCTGGTGCAGGACAGGGCGGGGTTTTATTCTGTTGTTCACAGGGTAGCTGTGGATCAGAACGGACTCGATGGCAGACTTGAACCACCACCACCACAACCCTATTTCTCCATTGCAGTTTTTATACTTCCTTCTCCAGCACACCAGGGAAGCAGCTCCTTGTACGACCAACAGAGGCTGGAACATTGCGAAATGCAGTGGTCACTTTTCTAACCTTCTTGACCTTGGATTTGCAGGTTAGATGGCTAGAAACGCTGCGGTGAGGAATTTATATTTAACCTTGATGAGACATGAATGACCTGCTGCTCCCAACCAAGGGACTATCTGATATAAGGTCATTCTAGGCAGGAGAAAAGAATTGCTCACGTCAAACATCAAGGGCAACACGTTTAATATTTTCAAGAAACAGAAAGAAGACCTTGGTGTCTCGTGAATGGTTGCCAAGTTAGAGATGAGGTCAGGGAGGAAGTAAGAGATTGTGCAAAGATCAGACAGTGAGAATGAGGGTAAAGATGTGAAAACTCCATTCAAGTATAGTGATTACCCACTGAAAGGTCTTAAGAAGATCAATGTGATCTGATTTACATTTTTGAAAATTACTCTGACTACCCTGTCAAGTATTAACTAAAGGAGGCAGGGCTGAGGAGAAGCGTCTTATTCCTTCTCAAACTTCTGACCTGAGAGAGAAGTAGAAGTATGTTTCTATTATTTTGTCATCATGTGTTTTTTACAGATGTCTGTGGTTGTATATGCTGGCCTGAAGATCAGGAGAGGGGCTTGAGCCAGTGGCTTGGGGGTTCCATCTATGTGTGGTGAACTCAAAGAATGGTTATGCTCACCCCCCTGAGGACAGAGGAGATGAATGGCAAAAGCTCAGCACGGAAAGCGATGGGAAATTGAGCAGTGGGCCACGAAAGAGGGCATTCAAAGGAGTCTGCCAGTCATTTCTGTAAAATATAGAGAACTAGATTAGAATGCTATTATGGGAGCCTCAGAGACGTATTTACAGGAGAGGTTGATCAGCACCCTCAAATTCCACAGAGAAGCCAAATAAGATAAGGGCCTTCTCCCTGAATGATAATGGACGTGAAAGTGCCTGGCCCCTCTTCTGTGCTCAGATACGATCTTCCCCTTTCATGGTCATTAATATGAGTGAATGATCCCAGAGACTAGAACCAACAGTGTTTTTGGTCCCCCTGCATCAGTAAAGTCTACCACGCAGTAGGTACTCAATAAAAGCTTACTACACGAGCAAACTTTAAGGCCATTTTCCTTTTTAACTAAATATTAAAATAAGATTGTTGGTTCCTCTTAGTTGTCACATGGTGCAAGGTCAAAAGCTTCATTTGGAAATTAACGTTGCTATCTTTTGTCTAAGCCCCAATTATGTGGACAAAGTCTGGGAGCTCTTGAAAGAAATCCTGCCCGAGTTTAAACTTCCCGAGGAGCCATGCTCGGACAGCAAAATCACAGTGATCGAGCCCAAGCTGAAAGAACCGGGGAGAGAAGCGAGAGATGGCAAAGACTCGAGAGAGGGCAAAGAAGGGAAAGAACTTAAAGACACCAAACCAGAAATTTCTCAGACGACACTCAAAGTACTGGATAAAAGTGACAAAACGCTAAAGGGTAAGCTAGGTTCAATGAAAGGTTAATGAGTATCGCATATAAATGTTTGAATGTCACCGTTGAATGTAATACTTCTTTATTGTCCTTTTCATTTCGTACGATTGTGAAGACAGGCGTGTGCTCCAGACCTCCTTTTCTAGAGCTGGAGCGTTGGTAATGTTGCGTATGATTCACTGACTCTTGTTCTGTTTTGCTTTAAAGTCACGTCTTAGTCTACTAGGCATGGTTCTACCTTCATAAAGGAGTGTTCCTGAAAATATCACCGTATCTCCAGCACGTATGGCCTGTGTACCCAAAGGCCAGTCACCCCCATACTGGAGACTAATAAGTCTTACACATGTATAAAATCCTTTCTTCAAGAGTGCTTTCCCACTTAGTGCTACTATCAATAGAATTACCTTAAGCCCCATGAGGATGATTTATGATTTATAACAATAAAATGACAATGATGTCTCTAAAAGTGAACCAGGGACTTAAAGAAACCATAGTTACATACATAAATAAATTTAGGGCTCTCACTTGATTGTAGCCCTAATATAAGAACAATTAGCTCCTGGGATTTGACCGTATCTGGTACTTGCCCTCATGAGGATATCACTGAAGACATGGGCCCCATAGCAGAGTGGGGTGAAGACGTGGGCCCCATAGCAGAGTGGGGTGAAGACATGGGCCCCATAGCAGAGTGGGGTGAAGACATGGGCCCCATAGCAGAGTGGGGTGAAGACGTGGGCCCCATAGCAGAGTGGGATGAAGAA